TTCAATTGAAAACAGATATCATCTTTAGAGACATTTGTCATGTTTAGAGGCTCTAGCACGTCATTTCTCGACCCGCTCTTTCGTTTGACCCAAAAAAACATTCATATCTTGTCTGGCATCTCTGCGACAAACTCTGGTCATCAACTCTGGTTTTCAGTTGAAATTGGAATTGTTAATTTACCCAATAATAGGAGTGCATTGACGATTTTTTCTTAACTCGCGAAAATCTTCAAACAATTTGCTTTCCGAAAAAAATTGTCCCCTCGAAATTATTTAGTTTTGCCAATAACACAGTTTTTGGCAAGAAAATTGCAGTTTCCTCTTGAAATTATCATTTGTTGCATGGAAATTATAAGTATTTATTGGACAAAGATAAAACCGGCGCCTCATATAATTCTCTGTACAACGAATGTATTTACTCAAAAGACAAATGTCTGACGAGAACAATTACGACTACCAAAATTATCAAGTTTTAATTGAATACGACAACAGATCGCTTCAGGGGAATATATCGACGCCTTAATAATAGACAAGCCTATCTACATAGGGAACTCATAGACCTTACGTTCATCTGTTATTAAGGTGCCAATATAATTTCTACTAGAATTCAGTAGCGACGTGGTAAAACGGTTTAAGTCGACTCATCTCCCAGTTGAGTTTTTGAGGAATATTGTCAAATCCAAGAGAGATAGCGACATTTTCGTGATTACATTTATTATAGCACTCAATCGGCTCTACAAAAAAGGTTATAACAAAAATTTTGCTATCTCTCTTAGATTCCGAGATATTAATTGAAAACTGGTCAATAATCAAAATTGACTTGTACCGGTTTACCACTTCGCTACTGAATTAATTTTTTCTCTCAGTGTGAATGTTAGGACTGTTGTCACTAAATTTTTTTGTAATGATCTGAAGTTTCACGAGTTTATTTGAGTGCGACGGGGTAACGTATTCTTCTTGTTTCCAATTATTTTTATCATATCGGACTAATTGTCCGTTGCAGCCTCAATTTTTTAATTGTTTTTTCGTTAATTATATTTTATCGAAGGAAAATCGACACAATAACACAAGTCAGATTTCCTTTATGTTTTAAGTAAAAATACGACACAACATTGTGCCATTTCCATTCGTCGATCGAGCGATGTAAAAACGCTTATTTTTAAAGAGGAAGAGGAAGGGAAATTCAATTTGATACACAGTAGAGGTATCATGATTTTTCCACCCATTTTTCATCCACCAGCCATTGTCTGTAGGTCATGAATGGAGCTCGATCCGAACACAATTCGATTCTGCAGTACATTTTTCTATCTCCAAGTTTTTTATTTTCCACCGCTCACCACCGCTGGGGGGCAGAAGGCGAGTGACATTATCGTATCTAAATACATTGAGTTGAATATATAGGGAGTCGGCTGTATTCATTCATGTAACCGTACCCACGGGAGACTTTAGCAGGTGATGCAGTACTTGAATCGAATATATGTACTGGGATAAAGAAAATGAATAGCTCCCGGGCTTTTTCAAATACGTGGCTTTCTTTCAGGGAAATTGCTTCGATAGTTTCGACTTTATTGGATTTTTTATTCATCAGGCTGCGAAATTGTTTCCATTTACTGGTGTGATTTGTCAGTTGGAGATGCATCATACGTTCTTAGTTTTACTCAATTATATCATTAAATAGCTGTAGAGACTAGTTCGAAGATTAATACAATCGAAATATGAACTGAATCGAAATACATAAATCTTTCTGAGTTTTTATTTGCTTGATTTTACTTGCTCCTCGCAAGGAATCGTTTGTTCGTCATTTGTTCGTTCTGAAAACACTGCTATCACCTTGAATAATTGCAATCTTTGGCCATTTTCATTTAATTGATTGTCAGTCAATTGAAAAAAAAAGAAATTCTTGCAATTATTCAGTAGTAATACCCCAAGAGCTTTAAAATTATCAGATATTTCCATAATCAAATACTGGCAGTCAAATACTGCGCTCTGATTGGTCGAAATCCGATTGGGAAAAATAATCAAGACAATAGCAGTGTTTTCAAAATGAAAAAAACGACGAACAAACGATTCCTTACAAGGAACAAATGAAACAATCAATTTTTTCAGTGAGAGTGAGATGAAAATTTCACAACTGGATTGGATTTTTAGTGGAACATGCATATTCAAAAACAAAATGACGTAAACTTGCAATTTTCCCCTGCATTTTCCTGATTTTCTGAATTCTCACAGAATAATGGAACTGAAAAATCAAGTATTTTATTGATTTTCAGATCATCTGAACAGAAAATCAATGGAATATTTGATTTTTCAATGACAAGATTTCCTGAAATTTCAGTGGAACTTGAACACGATAAAAATTTCCGGAATTTGGGACGGAAAATTTAGAAGAAACTTTTCAACAGAGCATGTTATATCAAAAGTCGCTTGATACACTGAGAAATTCCTTTAAAAAAATCTAGTGGTGTTAACGTGAAAGTTCTAGAGATAAAATTGATAAAATTTCTGATAAAATTTGCGGGGATTTGTGCGAAAATTTCCCATCAGAACACAAAAAATTCACGAGCTACTGAATAAAATTTCCAGTGCAAGCACTTGAATTTTTGTACAGAATTTCTGTCCGAGTAGTTATTTTCATCAATCGAAGACTTTCAAATTTCACCTGGGTCCCCTCCTAAAGAGCCCGTAGGCAGGGCTCATGGCTATTGACGCCAAAGGTAATCCCTGAAGACAAACAGAAATCAAAGATTAGATTTGTTGAGAATATTCAAAAATTCTTCTTCCACCTTCTTTCAAGTTGTTGTATCGATGTTCTCAGTCATAAATAAGGTGACGTACATTCATGGCCTCGCATTCTATTCCTCGCGTGGTACGCGGCTAACGCTTTCGGACATTCGAAAAAAGTTTAAATAGTTATTTCTTCTGCAAAGTAGTATTAAAGTGTTTTTGTCCAGCCGGTGTTCATAATCGAATTAATGATGTTGTGGATTTTAATTCTCGTATGTCCTGCGATTCACGGTAAGAGTATTTCTGAATCAAATAAGGAGAACGTTAGGTTGTAATCTAATACGCAGTTGACGTGTAGATTTTCGAAAACTTTTATCAAACAACTCTTTTTATTTTTTTATCGTAATTATCTAAACTTTACGGTTTATTCTGAATTAGATTCAGAGAATATTCTGCATTCAACTCGATCCATTTACAGTGTAAGTGATTGATAATAATGAGAGTTTACTTTTAGATTACAAGACTTTAGGAATTCATCTATGATAAGTATTATCTTTATCTACGGTGCAGAACCTTTTTGACTTCAATCATATAGACGGTACTATATTTTTTTATTTAGCCACAAACCTATTGGTTGGAGAGCTACAGAAGATATTCCGAATTCAGTTTGGTCACATTTTATGGAACACCATAGATGTTTCAATACGGTTGCCTATAAAAAAATAGGAATTGTTCTCCACTAGTAAACATTATTTAGGGAAATCCTAATCGTTGTTATGAGAAACCCTTCAAACGAACAATTTCAAATCGAAAATTAGAAATCATTTGAAATTATCTAGAATTATTCGAGATCACGAAGTCGGAGAAAAAATCCAATGAAATCACATGAAAGTAGTTATTTCAAGAAATCACATTAAAAGTGCTTTAAAATCACTTTAAAAGCACTTTGGAAAATTTTTGAAATCTCGTAAAATCATAAAACATGTGAATGCCCCCTCGACTATTTGTTTAATGATTAACTCACAGTTTATGACGTCATCGAATAGCTGTAGTGGAGAGAGAACGAATGGTACGAGGTTTCGGTGGAACTCCGCAGGATTGGGGAACGGAAGAGATCAGTGATGGTGCTTGGATGTTCTGGTGGCTGTATTTCGTCGATCCACCGGAAAAACCAGAGAATTTCGACGTTTACTCACGACCGTTAATCGTTTGGTTGGATGGAGGTCCCGGTGATGGCGGCAGTGGTAATGGGAATTTCCTTCAAATCGGTCCACTGGAAATCGATGGAGTCACTCATCGTAACACAACCTGGGTGAAAGATTACCATGTTCTCTTCATTGATGCACCAGTGGGCGCGGGTTTCAGTTACGTTTCTGATGCCAGTAAATACAGAAGAGAGGACGATGATATAGCTTCTGACATCCATGTTTGTTTGAAGAAGTTCTTCCATAAACACAAAGAATTCCAGAGTGTTCCAATGTATATTGTTGGCCATTCTTACGGTGCAAAACTAGCTGTTAAACTTGCTGAGCTCTTGGTAAGCTACGTCCAGTTCTCTTCAGAATGTTGTAGCTCACAAATTATCTGATTATTTCAGATCGACAGCGCTGAATCGCTTCCTAATAATCTGAAGGGTGTGGGACTCAGCAGTCCTTTCATATCGCCAGTGGACACAGCTTTATCTCTAGGAGAATACCACCACAAATTAGTATGAGCATCATTCGGATCTAATCTTTGAATCATATCAGTGTTTATTCGAGTGTAAGTCTGGGTCAACGTTCGTTACAGGGATTTCTGGATGATGCTCAGAGACTTGTCATTGAGGATGTTGCGAGAACGTTAGAAGCCGATGTAGAAGAGGAAAATTGGATCGAAGCATTCTGGGATAACATGAATGTTAGTCAGAATCTTGTGGGTTATACGACTTTCTGGAATTTGGAAAACGTTTCTGTTAAATCTCGACCTAGATTACACAGTGAGCTTAATGAAACTCAGGTTGATGGGTTTATGAACTCTGAAGTCAAGCAGGTCCTCGGTATCGCAACGAACTACGGAGAGCGATTCCGGGATGTTTATATTTCTTTGAACAGGACGTTCATCAAATCTGCGATTTCTTCGGGTAAATATACGAATTCATGCAAGTTTTCTGTGATCTACGAATAGTCTTTTGGTGATTTTAGTGAAGAAGCTGGTAGAGAAACCTGGGGTGAAGGTTGTTGTGTTTGCGGGTCAAATGGATGGAATTGTTCCGCACATCTCCACTGAGGCGTGGGTGAATAGAATCTTCCAGAAAGATGAGGAGTGGCTTCTTGCGTCAAGAAATCCACTCTTGATTGATGGGGCCATAGAGGGATTTGAAAAACATCACAAATCGTTCAGCATGTATTGGATTTTGAGAGCGGGACATCTGGTGAGAATCTTTGCGGGTTGATTATTGCCAAGTGGACATTTGCGAGTTCTAATAATTGACTGGATTTTTCAGGTTACACGGGATAATCCGAAGGCTGTTGAAGTCATTCTGAATAGGTTGACAAACGAATAGGTTGATGAACGAATATGGCGAAAACAGTGACTTAAAAGGTAATATGGAAGTAGCATTGAAATTACGTTTCGATCGATAATCTCCAGAACTCAAGAGGAAAAATTAACTCTTCTAAAAATTTCTTAAACAGAATTTCACTTTATTTTTATATTTTGTCGCGTCGTTTTTCCTGAAGATTTTTCTTCGTGAATATATGAGAATTATTCAACCCGTTTCAAGCTGTTATTTTCAAAATTGTTCAACCTGTTCTTAGCCTTTATATATAAAACATTTCCCTCAATCAAGATCATCGAATTTTCTCAAGACGCAAGGTATTGCTTTTTTTTTGTTATGACAAATATTCAAGATGTTTCGAGTATATGTTAAATATTTTCCATAATCAGCATGTGCCATTCTATCTGTTTATCACTAATCAATCTCAAGTCGGAAAAATAGTTTATTGGTGACCATTAAGGATGTACGATACCTTTTCGGCCAAAATTCACGTTTTTTTCATTTTTCTGACAAATTATTGATCGGATTGACGCGAAATAATATACCGTTTTTGCGTTTTATCATTATTGACTGACTCACGAAGTTTCATGGTAGTTCAATCATTTTCTTGCATTTTTTCTAAAGTTTTCTGAATTTCCGAAAATTTTGAGAAAAAATGCAGGAAAATGATTGCACGATCATGAAATTTCGTGAGTTATTAAGTAATGATCAAACGTAAAAACGGTATATTTTTTCACGTCAATCCAATCAACAATTTGCCAGAAAAATTTAAAAAACGTGAATTTTGGCGAAAAGGGTGTAATATATCGTTAAATGCAGAAGCAAATTAGTAATTCACGATGAAATTACAGGAAAAAAAAAGATTTTTAAGGAGACTGACGCAAAGATAGTATATTTCGTGTCGAGTGCCAATGGGGTTTTCGGCTCGTGTGAGGCTAGTGCGCCGCGAGGAAGGCGAGGTGTGCCAATCACTGACGAGGCGTGGGCGAACGATATTTTTCCATAGTGATTTTCACTTTTACCAGTTTGGGGAAGGGTCATCACCAATCCCCGAGCTGGGAAAAGTCAGAAGCAGTACGGAAAAAGATTTTTCCATTGGGCAGAGACATTATTGTTGAATCGAGAAATTTCCATTTGTACACATTCATTATTGATAAATAACATTAGGACATTATAATTATAGGATTATGGCTTTTCTGTTATCAAATTAATCTTGTATACATGACGTATTATTCCAGTCAAGTTTCTGTGTAAATAAAATCCTTTTAAAATTATTTCTGCATTATTTTCCGGAATTTTTAACGGTATCAATTTACGATTCCTCTTGACGACAATCGCTATGTCAAAGTTTTCGGTAATTTATTCAATAATGTAATCTCCAAACTGGAGGAAATGAAAGATCAGAAAGTGCGTGCTAAAAATCATGTGTTCACGTTGGTCAAGGTTATCATATTGAAGTCCATCGTAACAAATGATGTGTCACAAATTTATTTATTATTTTATTACTTTAATGTCGACAGATTTCGAAGATCCCTTAATGACTGCCACGGGCGCAACGTGGCAAGCGTATCCTATTAAAATGTCTCTTTAATGGGATACGCTTGTCACGTAGCGCCCACACTTGACTTATCGCTGTAATAAAAAAACGTAATAAACTTCCAAATGCAACAATTAAATGCAAGAAGGGAATTGATTTTTTTGTGATACGGCCCTAAAAAGTTTGTTCCAGAAAGGTTTCGCGGGCGTAAATTGTTTGTTCAGAGGTCGTCCGTAAAAAACTAAACATTTTATGCGTGCAAAAACGTGGAATTTTACGTACTTGTACCACAGTATACTATTATGTTACAATTACGCAATCCATTACAGCGTCAGTCAACTTATTGTCATTGAAAAATCAGTACTTGCCTTTCTACGTATTGAAGGACATGACCGTTGTGGAATAGAATAGAATCATTGGAAAAAACCGCTAGTCACGTCGCCCCTCAAAAAGCCACTGCTGATACTACCAAAATCTGTACTCATTAAGAAATCGATCCCCACCGCCAAAAAGATTGTTTCGGTCGAATGGGAAATAGCACAATCATGAGGGTTAAAGTAAGTTTTATGCTTGCGTTCTGTTCCACTCTTCTATTCAACTCTTATAAACCGACAGGGCGATACTCCTGAGTTAACAATTAAGCTGACTCCAGTTATTCACGACTTTTATTTCATTTTATGTTTTGTTTGATTAAATTAAATTGCAAGACAGCAATTCGTGTTAATGTCTTCAAGTGATATTTTTAAATTATTGCTGAATGATTTATAAATTGAGTTTTTAATAATCCGTTGACCTTACGACCACTTTCTCCTTCTTTCACATGAGACATTTATATGTTTTGTTGCCCTTTTGTTCCTCTCATTTGACTCTCGTGATTATCGATCCTTATAAGCGTTTCTCCTTTCTACTCCCTTTTTCGGGTTAATGACGGCTAAGTGTGTTTGTAATATACCTCCCTCAGTACCCTCCCATCATTGATTTCAATAATTCCAGAGGAAACGGTTCTGCAAATCACAGTCTCACTCAATAAAACTCAATCCTCCTTCACCTAATCCGTTTTCTCTTCCAATAAAAACCCCCAGAATTGAGTTAGAAAAAGGAAAATAAAACAGGAGAAGAACGGAAATGAGAAGAAAGGAAAAGAAACATTCGATCAAGCAGTTTATGCAAATTGCATGGATCACACCTGCCTCCCTCGAGGCGATGGCGCGTAGTCCCCCGGGGTTGGAGTCGCTGGACGACCTCCCACACTACCGTCTAAAACCTCCGAAATCGAGACGTGGAGCGCAGCTGGAGTCGAATGAGAGAGGATTCATCGAATCAAAATCCCGTGCGACAGCTGCCCCTCGCTTTTAGTCCATCACTGGTGCTGAATCTTTTTTCGATCCCATCAACATTTTGTGGCGGTAACTGAGAGTCAGTTCTTGATACCAGTTGACCATTTCTGTTTATACGATCGACTCCGTACTCTGCATTTGAAATAGGTAGAGATTGTGAAACCCTTTTCGGAACTGGGGACATTTCAGGTGCTGTCGTATTTTTAAAACATGGAAAAGGAGTTGTTGGCTTTTTTGGAGGGCGATTTTTTTAGCCCGATAAATTGGAAAAAAAATGCCAGAGACATTTCAAGCGTTGAATATTCACAATTTCCATATTTTTTTGCATCGGAGCATTTCCATTCGAGGGAAAAAATGTGAGGTATTTTTATGAATAAATGGCGAGTTCTGTTTACGGGAGGAATTGATGGATTTTTTCCTCTGAGGTTTGAGATTTTTCACAGGTGTTGGGGCCTAATAATTAGACGTGGAAACGTTAGTACGTACGAGAGGAGATACCGTATTTCAATAAGTATTCACAGCCCAGAGGTGGAATTTTTGCATATCTCTTTCAACCCTAACGTACAGCAGGTCTCGGAGTAATTGGCGAGCGAAGGAGGGCCGTCGGGGCCAATGGTGATGGCATATCGTTTCACCAGTAGGACGCACGCCTCAAAGCAGATTCGAAGATTCGATGGATCGATAGCACCACCGGTTAACGGGTAAATATAGAGCTTGAGAGATATTCTTGATTTATCATCGTTCACCAAGCGCCGAAGATATTTCGAGATTGTTACCTGCAAAAGGAGGGAAAATATTGAGTAATAAAAATATGTCAATCTCAATCGCGTTATCGAAATGAACATCCTCGTTACAATCGAATAATAGTTTCTTGTTCACGTGAAGTGGTGAGGAATATTTTGAGCCACCATCGATGCTTCTGATGCATTGCAATGTATTTATTTATTTCACTGTTCGAAACTGTTAGAAATTTTTTTAAATTCAAGTAACAGATATATTTGAAGTTTGATTATTCGGAACTTGAATTCAATTTCAGACTAAATTGCTCATGGAATTACTGATTCACCTTTGAAATTCAATAAAATTAAGTTTTTCATAATGAATGATCCTTAAGTAAACTTAATTTTATTGAATTTTCAATGACAATTTGGATTTTCATATGTATCGCGAAAATTAAGCGTAACATTCAGTTGAATTTTCAAGAGATTAAAAATTCAGAAGAAAAGTTCCCTGAATTTTCATGATTTTCAGTCATTTTCATTGTCGTATGAACCTGAGAAATCAAATTTAATTGAATATTCAAGAAAATTGACTAATTTATCAATAACAAGATCAATGGAAATTCCATTTCAAGATTTTTTACTTGAAATTTCAAGAGTAATTTTCTGACAGTGTTGAATTGATTTGATATCTCCTACGTTCATCAATAAATTCAGGGCTTCAATAAATTGGAAGAAAACGGATGGGTCACTTCAAAAGTCTTATTGTCGTTGTTATGAATTATTAGTGACTGAATAGTTTTCAAGTGTCTTGAATTGAGACAAAAAAAATATTTTCATCGCTTGAGCGTGAAGTGAAATGTTACACACGCTCCGCATGGGCAAAATCCTATTTTCTACACATTGTGATGAAAAATAGGGCTTGATATTCACGAAAAAAGTGTCCTTTGAAACTTCGAAGGGTAACACTCGCTTGCGGAGAGCGCTACACCCACACAAATTGTTCATTTGAATCAAATAAAAATCTTTAAAAAATCTATAAAAATTTCCAACGCTCATGTAGACTTATTTCAAACCTCCAGATGGACATTTTATTCACATTCTCGGCGAATTAATGATTAGTGTTTTAAATTTTAAAAAATCTTCATTTGAAGTTTTTTACTCCTTTCAAAAGAAAGGATTTACTTGTCTGAATAAAAGAATTTATTAATTTCAAATAAATAGTTTTTTTGTTTTGAGAAAATCATATTTTCATGTATTTTGTAAAGATAGATTCTTGAAAATTAGAGCCGACGTGCTGGAAATAAATTTTTTTTATTGTGAAATCATTTTTCCCTGGAGAAAACCCATTCCATTATACAAATATTCAAGGAATAATGAAATCGTCAACAAAACTAGAAAAACGTGAACATG